GATTCCCACTCGCAGTGGAGGCATTTAGAGGCCCCTCCCCAGCAGGGTCCTGTTGGCTGGTAATTCCCAGAGGATAGAGGGCTCTTCAGCAAACAGTCCTGCTATTCCCTCTTCAGATGCCTTCTTTGAGGGATCAGAGGGAGAGAGGGAAGGTCCAGGTGCACGTCTTTGAGGGAATCGGGTTATACATGCAAGTTGTACCTGGGTGTGGTGGCACACCCCTGCAATCCCAGCACATCATACAGCTGAGAATCATGTGCTCAATCCCAGCCTGGGCAATTTAGCAAGATCCTGTCTCAAAAATGTAAAAAAAAGATTTTTTTTAAAGCTCAGTGCAAAGGCCCTGAGTTCAATCCCAGCTATGGCGAGGGGGAAGCATGTTGCTTTAATGAGCCAAATCTGAGTTACTGTCAGCCCCACCCAGGAAGGAGGGGGTGGCCAGGGCGGCAGGAGCCAGCAGGGAAAGCACAGTGTCAGATCCAGAGGACTGACACTGTCCCCTTTTCCCGACAGCGGCACTAACCCTCCAAAGGGCAAATGGAGCTTTGCTTTGCATCGTGGGGGTCAACAGACACCTGCAGAAATAGTCTCAGGACCTTCTTTACATCACCAACAATTAGAAGGAGCACTACTTCTGCCACTGGCTGCTCCCCTCCCTGGGGCAGAGGGGAGCCTGTCTCAGTAGTCTACATGTGCTCTGCACCCCAGGACAAACCGTGGAGGGACCAGACCGGGCCTAGAGTGAGCAAAGGGTCTGAGTGACTCCGCCTCAAGGGGGCCGGGGGCAAAGCCCACCACCAAGCATGGGATGGCAGTCTTCCTGCCCATCCCTGGTGTCCCGGGATATGTGCCTCCCCAGGGAGTGTGAGTTCCCAGAACCAAGAATGATACGTTCCCTGTTCACACCAGCTTGGTGCCAAGCACATGTGGGCACCAGCACACACTGCTGTATACGTGAATGAACGGTCTTTCTCAGTGTGGAACAGCAGTTCCCAACACTTTGGGCACCAAAGATGGGTTTTGTAAAAGACAATTTTGCCATGCACAGGAAGAGGAGATGGTTTCAGAATGATTCAGAGGCACACACAACCTGGATTCCACGGGGGGGTCCACGCTCCTGTGAGAATCTAAAGCCACCAATGACCTGCCAGGGGGCTCAGGTGGTGATGTGAGTGGCAAGGAGACGTGGTAAACACAGACACAAGGCTTCTCTCTGGCTCCCTCTGCTCACCTGCCCTGCAGCCTGATTCCTGACAGGGGGTTGGGACCCTGATCCAGTGGAAGCATAAGGAAATAAACTCTGGTGGGGTTTTGTTGTGTGTGTGTGTGTGTGTGTGTGTGTGTGTGTGTGTGTGTGTGTGTGTGTGTGATCAGTACTAGGGATCAAACCCAGGGCCTCTGCACTGAGCTACATCCCTAGCCTTTTGTTTGTTTGCTTGTTTGCTTTATTTTTCATTTCTCTAAGTCACTAAGTTGCCCAGGCTGGGCCCAAACTGGCAATCCTCCTGCCTCAGCCTCCCAAATTGCTGGGATTACAGGTTTGTCCCACCATACTGGGCTAATTCCTGCATGAGCTTTATGGGACTGGAGCCCCATGAGGTATACAGCAAAGAGCATCCCTAATCAACAGCCTCTCAACTGATCTCAGAATCATTGCTGGCCCAAGGGCAGACAGGAATCCTGGGAACTTGGTTTGGCCAAAGTAACCCTAGACTTAAGTACTTCGGGGGACAATTGGAAAATGAAGAGCCCATCCCCAGCTGTTTATCAGACTCTACTCTGTGGGTAAGGACTAGGGAGAGAGGGGGAATGAGGTGTTCTAAAGCCTCCCAAGTTGAAAAGGGAAGGGCCAGAATTGTTAGAGCTTGAAGCTTATACACATGTAGGGAGTCTTTAAGAAAACCACCTTGGAATTTTTATTTTTACAATTTTTATAAAACCTCAGGACAGGTGAACCCCTCCCTGGATGCCTCCCAAGGCAACAAAGTTTCCATCCCTTGTACATCTCAGGAAACCCACCCTGTGCAGTAAGGAGAGGCCCTTCTCTCTGCTTTTGCGTAGGACTCAAACTTTTCCACTAGTTCATTTTCCAAAATCACGGGCATCCTATTTCTGCTAACCGTGGTCTCAATTCTGAATAAAGTTTACTTACATCTTGTACGTCGTCATTACTTTAAGAATGCAAAGACGAGGTATGGTCGAAATACATGGTGAACATTTCCAAGGCATGTCTTTTCAGGCCTATGACAAAACAGATCGTGAGGGCTGCCACCGAGCACCAGCCACCAGGACAGGCTGATAAAAATGTGAGGACAGTGTCTTCTCATCCATCCACTCACTGGACCTGGCACCATGCAGCTTCTGGCTCTTCCCCAATGTCAAAACGACCGTGAGAGGGAGTCGCTTTTAATTTATTCCAGTCACTGAGGCTGCCTCAATGGCTCAAGTACAGACACTCATGAAAGAGGATTCCCAGACCTGCTTCAGAAAGCAGAAAAATGGTGGGAGATGTGTGTTCAAGGTGAGGGGAGGAAACCAAGGTGGATCGATGGAAACGTGTCTCTTGCTGTAATCAATTTTTAAAATGTAAACATTCACTGTAACTATGTGAAACCAGGTAAGTGACCTGACCACGCCTGGGTACCCTGGGCTGATCTAGTGCAGGCTCTGGGCTACCCACCAGCCTGGGGAAACGCTCCCAGGGCCGCAGAAAGTAGGTGCCACACAAATCCAGATTCCTTCCTCTTCTCTCCCACTCAGGACCTCACAGCAGGGCCGTGTCCTGTTACATAACAGAGAGAGGGAGGGACAGGATATGCTACAGGGAGACCCAGCTCAGCCACACCGACTTGAGGACATCCTGTCCTAATGGCATCCAGCGCCGTGTGCATTCAGACAGACCTGGGCACTATCCCAGTGCCTCCTCTCTGTGACCTTGGGCAGGGTTACGCAGCCTGTTTCCTCTTTTGAAAAGAGGAAATGACAGCAGGCCTCCCAAATGACAAGATGGGACGAAGGATATGAAGATACCCTGTACAGAGCCGGAGTTCAGCAAACTGAGCTCCTTTCCCTCCCCTGCGTCTTCTGCTATCCCTTTGTCCCTGAAAAAGCAGAAAGCTGATCGGGGTTGAGGGTGGGGAGCTGAACCCTTGTCCCCGTTTAGTGTGAAGTGGAGATCTGGGGCACCTCCAGCTCCCCTGAATCCCAGCCCCCACTTTTCGGCACAGAGGGAACTCAGACGGCTGAAATATCCAGGCTGGCTCCAGCGTGGCCTCCCTGACCACACACTTGTGCTAATCCTGCCAGAAAGACCAGCCTGTGGTTAGGACGGGCAGCCATTATGGTTTCCAGAAAATTCCTTTGAGCAGGGAGAAGCTGTTTGCCATTCCTGAAGCCTCTCCAGCCTACACCAGTGTGGTTTTCCAGTTAAGCTGGGGCTGCTCCCAAATCTCCATTTTAACCAGTTTCTCTCTCCTTCCTTTTTAAGGAGGAAGCCTGGGACCACAACCACTCCTTGCTTTTATTTTTCTAACTGACTTCTGGTTGTTTTTCTGATTACACAGGTAAAGTCTGTGCCACCATCCAGGGATACCTTTGGAGGCCCGGTTTAGTGGGGAAATTGGGGGACCAAGTCAGGGATCACACAAGGAGAGACAAGTTGGGAAGAGGATGCCAAGTTCCTCTCTGGATGGGCGGGAGAGACCAACTTTGAAATTCTTTGTTTTTGGTACCAGGGATCGAACTCGGGTCCTTGTGCTTGTGAGGCAGAAGGCAGAACCACTGAGCTAAATCCCCGGTCCTACTTTGGAATTCTTAATCTGGCCTCCACTGGGAATGTCTGAAGGGGAGTTGGACACCCCGGCCAGTCCTCGGGTGTGAGCCCCAGGGTGGACTCAGGGCACCTCAGCACAGCATGGGGAGCCGAGAGAAGAAAGAAGTGTGGGTGAAATATGGGGGTGAGAAACTGAGGAGAAGACATCAGAAAAGTCTGGAGGGGAAGACAGAGGAGAAGAACCAGCAGAGAGGGAGGCTGACCCTAGCCCTAAGAAGACACACAGGACACTGTACCAGTTCCGGGTCTCATCTTGAGGGGGGCACAGCTTCTGCATCCTCTTCCTTGCAGGGGCCTTTTAGGGATCCTCTTTCTCAGAACCAAGCTTGGGACATGTGTGGCCTCTCAGATCTGCAACCTTGGCTGAGAGACCAGTCATGAGTCAATGCCAAACGCCAGTCGTGTGAGTGAGGCATCCTGGGGACTCTGACCTCGTCAGCTATGTCTGTGACCACAGCCCCAGCCAGAAGACCCTTCTAGCTGAGTCCAGGAAACCCACAGAAGCCTGAGACAGAAAGGTGGTTATGCACTGAAGCAAAAAATAAGTCATCGGAGTCATCACCATAACAGCAATAATGGCTCCACAGATGTCTCGGTCCACTTTGCGGTGCTGTAACAAAATCCCTGAGGTTATAAAGAAAAGAGATTGATTTAGCACCCGGTCTTGGAGGCCCCATGACAGGACCACAGCAAGAGAGAGAGATCACACTGTGGGAGAGGAAGCAAGAGGGCAAGCAGAGAAAGCCGGATCCCCTTTATAACAATCCACTCTCCGGGTAACCTTTCCAGTCCCAAGCGATCTAGTGCACTCCCAACACAGGGGCGGTGTTAATCCACAGTGACCTCATCGACTCCTCCTGGGCCCCACCTCTCAGTAGCATTACCCTGGGGACCGACCTCCCTCATCTGAACCTTGTGGGAGAAAGCACATCCAAGCCATGGCAGTAAGGACGGAGCCCTAACCAAGAGGGAGAAGGCGTGTGAAGGAATAGCGGACACATGTTCCACTCAGCAGGAGCATCATCCTGGAAGCGGGAGGGGCACAGGGACTCTGTGCTGCCTGTCACTACTTAAAAGCGTCCTTCTCGGCCAGGTCTCAGGTCTTGAGCCTGCAGGAAAAGCCCAGCCACAGCCTCGGCTATCGGACGTGTGTGGGCCAGCAGCCTGGCAGAGCCTGGGCCGGGGGCAGAGCGCTTGGGACCCAGTTTTAGACCTGCCACCTACTTTTGGGTCTGCATTTTCTCCTGACATGGGGTTGAAAAACACCTGGCCAGGCAACTTTCCAGGGTATTGCTGGAAAGAAAGAAAGAGCAGGCTAGAAAGGCGATCAGGGCAAAGTCCCATGTAAGAGACCCTTCTTATTATCATGACTGCTCAGAGGAAGGAGAAAATTGAGAGGTTCAACAGCACCCAGTAACCCACCTAAATTTATACAGACTGAGTGAGCCTGGCTAAGTTTCAGATTTGGGAGCATTCTGGACTTTGGGTTTTCAGGTTAGGGCAGCTCAGCTCACAAAGTATCCTGAAACCAGAAAAACTTAAATTGGAAATATCTGAGCATTTGGATGAGAATGATTCACCTGCACAACACATTTATGTAAAAGAAAACAAGAGGATCCAAGCTGCCCGCAGGGTTCTGACCCTCACCAGCCCCTTCAGGAAACTCCCATCCTGCAGAGATTTTGCTAAGAGCCTGTGCAGCCTTCAGCCCTTGGAGCTGGAGCAGAGCCTGGGCCGCTCAGGCAGCCGAGGAGAGCCGTTTCCACAACCTCTGCTCAAGGGGCCGGAAGCCTCTGCGCCATCATCATTTTCCGCCACCGACATCTATCACTGAAAATCAGTGCTGCCTCCCGGAGTGATAGAGCGAACACCAGGAATTGAGCCTAAAAACATCACAGAGTTAAAAAAAATTAAGTACAAATTAAAAACCATTAGCACCCTCATTCCCCTGAACTGTATTCAGGGCCAGCTTCTTGCCCTGGCCAGACTTGTGAGTTCCCCAGCACAGCACAGAAGGGAAGAGGTGGGAGGGAAAATAAACACAAGTTGTGTCTCCATCAGAGAGAGGGTACGAACAGCCAGCCAATGGCGGTGCGCAGGCATCCTGAAGGCCGCGGCTCTAGGGGCTTTCTGAGTAGTTTCCATGGTTTCCATGCCTTCCTAATCCTCACCCAAACAGCTCTCCTTCTGCTCACCTTGTGTCTCTGATCTGAAGGAGAAAGGAAATAAGCGTGACCAATATGCTGCTATCAAGCGAAGAGAGAGAGAGAGAGAGAGAGAGAGAGAGAGGAAGGGAGACGGGTGAGAGGCGAGTCTTCCTCAAAAACAGGTGACCTGAGTGCCCGCCTGGGCTTTGCGGGTATTTCTGGGGACCAATCCTGATCAAACTCTGGCTGAGAAGTCCGTGGATCCAACAGACTGGGTTTAGACGGGGAGGTGACCGGGCTGCTGGCCGTGGAGGTCAGGCCTTGCACAGCAAACTGCCCGTGAGCACCGAGCCCAGCATCTGAGGGACCAGAGTCTGCAGCGCCCGGAGGCCAGGCCTTTCTCCACACGCTGGGATACGAGCTACCCGGCCTATGTCCTTATCTCTGAAAAGATGGGCACCATTGCTGTGGGTACTGAAAATCCCGCGATGATGGTCCCGGCTTGTGCCTAGAACACAAGACCATTATAAATGGTAGCTTCCCCCCACCCCACCCAAAAAATAAAACGAGCTTTGTGCACGTATGACGCACTTGTGGGAAAACACCCACTGGAAGGGGCCAGCTGACGGGAACCGACATGTACACGCATGTGATCACGGAACCTGTCGCAGCCTAGGTAGCAAATGCTTCCGGGAGCCCAAGTTCCTCCCACCCCTTCGCAGCCAGGTCCCCCACCTCACCCCATCGTGGCCTCAGGGGATGGCTGGTGTTTTCTGTCCCCGCGTTCTAGAATGTCATAGGCATGGAAGCCTTTGGGGTCTGGCTTCCTCCCTTTCCCATGTTTCCAAGGCCCGTCTGTGTGATTGAAGGCATCCGCACCTGGGTCTTACGGCGTCACAAGCTTTCAACTGTGACTCCGATATCTCACTGTGCTTTGAGTCTTCCCGGGGCTGTCATCTCAGCACGTTCCTGGATCAGACCCTGGAGAGACTCGTGGGGGAAGCAGAGTTGGGGAAGGAAGGACAGGGGAGGGGAGCGGAGCAGCCGCCACCCAACCCAGGCCTGCCCTGCAAAACACACACGCCCAGAACGGCTGTATCCCGGGTCCTGGACCAACAGTGAGGCTGTGACTTCCCAGGACACCTTGCCAGCCCCTCTGCCTGATCCTTTACCAAATGTCCTCTCTTTCCTGGCCTTGGAGCTTCATAAAGAAGGAAGTTTGAAAGCCCACACACACACACACACACGATGCCAGAAAAGTCTCAGCCTCTTCTGTTCATCGATTTTCTTTCCTTTCGTTCATCAAGAAATCAGCGTCTGTCAGCATGCGCCAGGCATACGCAGGGCCGGGCGGTGGGCCGAGGGGTGGCCCCATCCCTGTCCCCTCTCCCACAGCAGGGTGGGAAGGAAGGGCGCCCCTGCGACATTCTCCAATTTCCCGCTATTCGGCTCAGACCGGAGCAGCAGCAGGCGGCCGAAAGGATTCGCAGGCGTCCCGCGCGCTCTCATCCTCCTTTTCTTTCTCTCTCTTTTCATCTTCTTTTTCAAAATGCTCTTAATAGTGGGGAAGTTCGCATAAAAGGAGACAAAACGAGGCCCGGGAAGCATGTCTGGCACTCAGCAATTGGTTCACCTGGGAGGTTCTTCTTCTGCCACCTCCCTGTGGCGGAGTCCCCAGCATCCCTGGGTGCCCAGCAGCAGGAGAGGGGCGTGGCTGGGAGCCGGAGACGGCAGGGTTGGGCTCTGGCCTCCCAGAAGCAAGTAGGTCAGGCCCACAGGAGTCCAGGGTGTACCACCACACCCCTTCTGGCGTCTCTCGGAGCCATGCGAGGGACAGGAGACTCAATACCCACAGGGAACGTTCTCCCTCCCTGAAGGCAAGGGCCTGAGGTCCGTGGTGGCAGGGGAGAGTGGCCTCCCTGGGGGGTAGCTTCCAGGCCTTGTGGCCCCCAGGGACTCAAGTCACACCGACCGCCCTCACCTGCACTGGCCACATAGAAGAGCAAGTCGGGCTCCTGCGCCAGGCCCGCCCAGGACCCCAGCTCAGCTTAGTGTCTCAAGAAACCTCGACACGCCTTCATCCATGTCCCCTCCCGGCTCTGTCCTGAACCACCCTCTCGGCCACCTCCCCCTACCCACACGGGAAAAGTCAGGAGCACACCTGAGAAGGAGCCGGCTGGAGAAGACCCACCCTGGACCCTTCCTGCAGGAGAGGCGGTTCCCTGGCTGGCTGCCACCACGAAGGCCAAGGCTGGGCCAACGTGCCTGCAAGGTGAGAGGGCTGCTAGCGGTCACTTGACTGGGAATCAGAGGGGGGCAGTGCCAGCAAGCCTTGTGTCTCTGGAGAGGTTGCATGGCTGAGTGGTTAGGGCGTGGGTCCTGCAGCCAGCCTGCCAGGGTTCAGATCAGATCAAATCCATTAGCGCGTATTCGCTGTGTGATCGAGACAGCAGCTGAACATACGGGGCACTGACAGCATTGCCTCTGAATCGCTACACCCACCACTTGATTCAGCCAGGCCTTCCTCTGTGTGCCAGGCACAGCAGCTCCGGGCCCATTAGCAGGACTCATGGTGGAGCGTGGGTACCTCCCCCAGGCCTCTCAGAGAGCTAGGCAGGCCAAGGAGAGGAAATTCCCAGGGCCTCTGGCCCCAAGCCCAGGCTCCTCCCTGGGGCAGAGGCCTTCAAGGCTGAAAAGCTAAAGGCTGGGCTGTCATCCAGGAGTCACTGCCACACAGGACCCCGCCAGGGGCACTGCCTGCATAGGCAGTGTCTGCTGCCCCAGCTAAAGAGAAGCTCAGGAAGAGGAGCCGTCTGCCCCCCAAAAGCTGGTTACAGAACCCAAAGGGTAAAAATCCAGGAGCAAGAGCAGAGGCCCCGATGAAGAGCATCTGGGAGCCCCCATGCCTGCAGAACAACCAGGTGAGGTGGTTTTCCCTTCTCCTGGATCAAGAGCCCGGGTTTCATCCTGGAAACTAAACTGCCTGGGGACACAGGCAGAGCACCCCTCCCCCAAAGCCACCTCACACCCGCGTGCCTCTCCGCTCCCCCCCACCGGAGGACAAGGGCTTCAGGGACCCAGAGCAAGAAGAATGTGGTTTCCGCTCAGCCTCACCCTCCAGAGACTTCCGCTGGGCTGCAGCCAGCTTGCTTAGGACGCCTCCTGCACTGAGGGAGAGAGGGAGGGAGGGAGGGAGAGAGAGAGAGAGAAAGACAGAGAGAGAGGGAGGGGCAGGCAAGAGGGCAGTCAGAGGGGTGCAACATGAGGCCAGGTCCCTTCCAGTAGAGGCAGCAGTGGGGAGACACAGGCAAGAAGAGTGACCAGAGGGACTGAGATGGAGGCAATGTGCACTAGAATACGTGTGTGTGCACTGTACATGTGTGTGCATTTCCTTACTGTGTGTGCACGGATACGATGTGTAGGTATGCAAATGTGTCCGTGTGTGTGTATGGATGTGTGCAAATGCACATATGCAAGCATATTGGTGCAGACGGATGTGTGGTGTGCAAAAATAGAACGTGCTGCAGAAAATATATAGGTGTGTGCCTGCAAAGGCAGTGTGTGCAAGTGTGTACGTGGGTGCAAATGGATGTAGGTAAGTGTGCCAGCATACATGTGTGCAACTGTACTCGTATGTGCAAGTATACGTGTGTGAGGGACCTGCAGAGAGGCAGAGGAAGAAAGACGGGCAGGAAAAGCCCTCAGGTCACAGCATCGCCCAGCATACCTGCCACACGGCACCAGTGGAGTAGAGGGGGCCCTCTCGTTTCTGGGCTCAGTACCTGGTACAGCAGGTGCGCAAGGACTGCTGCTGCCTCCAGAAGACTCCTGGGCACAGACGCATCCTTCTCTCAGGATTTGGTCACTGCGCTCTCCCAACTCCAGTTTCCCTCACCTCGCTAACAGAGGCCCTTCCCTCCCCACCTCACCATTGAGGTCAGCGGTCCCTACCCCCATCACGAGGGAGCTCAGTGCCCCCGCCAGCCAGATTCACCTCACTGGGGCCCAGGAACCAGGGGATTTCCTGACAGCTCCTCCAGGTAGTGATGTAAGCTGTTTATCTCGTGCTCAGCCAAAGAACTTTTATCTAAATGTGGAGCCTCTGGAGACAGGCCTAGCTGGCTTATTTCCACCCAGCCTCTTGGAACAGTCCAGGCTCCTGCTCCCTTTAGACTTTCTGCACATACGCAATGGCCCTATGGGAGGATTGGCAACACTAGACTCCTTCTCAGACTGATTCCCCAGGTGTCAGAGCCTGCCTGCGGCTGGTCGGCCCTGCAACTCCTAGAGCACTGGGCTCTGCACCTGATGCCTTCGGCCGGATGAATGCATGCTGAGCCTGAGAGCCAGGGCTGAGCTCACTCTGCATTCTCATCTGAGGCCAGGGAACTCTCTGGAGGTCTCCGTGAAAGGCAGCCCCTTCCACTCTGCTGCAGGACCCCACATTTAGCCAGGGAACCTTGACACTTGGCAGAGAGGGTCGGAGCTGGGATCCACCTCCTCCTCTATCCACTAGAGGCTATGTGAGCCTGTTTCTTCATCTGCATAAAGATGCCCAATTCCATGCCTCCGTGCCCAGGACCTGGGCTGGAGCAGTCCCTCCTGCTGCCCTAACAATCGGGGACCCAGAGCAAGCCCTGCTCTCTTCCATGCCCTCCTCAAGAGCTCAGGTTCTCTCCCTCTCCTTCCTCTCTGTCCATCCCGTGTCTCTCTCTGGCTCTCCCCACTTCCCAATCTCGAGCCGTTCTCCTCAACAGGACCTCTTACCCCCGCCTCCAGGATCCCTGACCCCGCATACAAGGGTCCTTGCCCCTCACATCTGGCTCCTTTGCCCCTTGCACCTGGGTCCCTTGAATCTCTTACCTGGATCCCCTGAAACCCACACCTGGATTCTCTCTCCTCTCATATGCGGGTCCTTTGCCCCCAGCACTCGAATCTCTTGAACCCGACACCTGGATCCCTTGCCTCTCACACCTGGGTCCCTTACCCCACATCCCTGGATCCCTCTGTCCCCTCCCTCCCTCACACACAGCTGGGTCCCTTGTCCCCCACACTGGGTCCCTTGCCTTCCAGGACTTACCCAGGATTGACTGCTCCATCTGTAGAGTGCCACACAGACACTCTTCTCTCCTGAATGACACTGCTGCCCCCAAGCCTAGGGCAGGTGCCTCTTCTGGGTGTTTGTGTTGTACCCCAAACTTCCTCCACCTCCGGTCAATCCTGGAGGACAGGAACCGCCTGGTGAATCACCACCTCCCTCCCTGGACTCTCACCCCTCTGAGAGCAGACCTTCATGCCAGGTGCATGGCAGATGTTGGTGAAATACATATGGAGGGCAGGGATGCAGCCCAGGGTGGTGCTTCTCAGGCACAGGAGAGATCCTGAGCTCCGTCCTCTGTACCACAGCAAAACAGAGGAAGGACAGGAAAGTGATGTGTCTGGAAGACTTTCCCAGAGGAGAGCAGAACCCCACCTCCAGGAGCAGGGCCCACTGAGATATGACTGAATATCTTCAGAATGGCCACGGGGCAAGGGCCCGCGGGTACCCACCCTGCCCCCAGCCCGAGGCTCCCATCCTCACGTCCCTGCCATCTCCACCAGCCCCTCACACTCCAAGGCAGCTCCAGGCTCACGGCTCTGCCACAGTGGGATGCGGTTCCCGGCAGCTGTTGCCATGGAGACCAGCCAGCAGTCAGCTCCATGCCTTCCCACTGCAGAGCCGGGGCAGAGCGAAGGGGAAGCCAGCTGTGCTCAGGGAGAGCCCCCCAAGCAGGGGGACACATGTGGCTCTGCACCCACATAATCCAGGGCTGGTGCCCAACTACCCCCACTCTCGTCCCACAGCTGGTGACTTCACCTCTCTGTGCCTCCTGGGACTTCAGAGTGCAGCCAGGTGAAGTGAGCCCACGTAGGGCATGAGACCGGCACCGTGTAGCCTGCATGCGCTGACCTCTGGGTTAGGTGAGCTTCCTGACTGTCGTGCCCAAGTCCCTCCATTCCACCCCATCTAAGATGGGCCTGGAGGAAGGAAGGGAGACAGTGATTTCATGTGACAGCTGAAAACAAAGAAGACAGTACGGGGCCACTAATCAAACATTGAGTGTGGCCTGGCTCTGCGGGCCCTGGTGGTGGCTGCCACCTGGCCACTTCCTGTAAGAAACTAATCTTACAGAGGGGACAAACCTGCATGAAGGGACTAGGTGGCCTCATGTGCGCAGGATGGCTGCTGGGTCTTACTGAGTGGGGCTGAGGGTCCTGTCTCCTTACACCTCAAGTGGCTATTTCTGGGGATAGCTGAGCACCCCCAGGACCACTGCATTCCTGAGACAGGAACACGTCAGGATGCTACAGCCCACCCTAGGCACCAAGAAGTCAGCTCCACCTCTCTACCACCAGCCCGGATCCTGGTGGCACTGACCACCTGTGTCTCAAGTAGGCCTGGGCCTGATCAACACACACAGACACACACACACACACACACACACACACCACACACTCTCTTCCCCCAAAGCACCCCTCGACCCAGCTGCTAGGCAGGGGGAGCTCGGCTGTGTTCCAGCAGGAGAACCTGTGACTTGTAAGCTAGTCAGCTATAATAGCAATGCTGCATAACAAGTATTTCCAGAAATCCTAGACTTGGAACAACAGTGCTGGATTTTCTTTCCTCTCTGTGGGTAGGTCAGTAGCCACTTGGCTCTGGATGCAACTGCAAATGTGGGGCCATACCAGCACTGGAGGTGCGGGGGGGCACTCTGCATCTATTCTAGGCTGGAGGACTGCAAAACCGCTTGGCCAAAGACACAAACGAGAACTCCTCTACCCAGGAAGGATGAAAAGAAGAATTGGAAACAAGAATTCAATCTGCCACCAATTATCAAGTGGAAGCAATAAAAAAGGAACTGAACCCTACATGCTCACGCCTGCACTCTCGCACACCCTCCCTCCCGCTCCCCCAGGGGGACTCAATTCCAAGGTGGGAACAGCTGAGTCTGCCCACCTCAGGGCTGCTGTGCGTGTTAGATGAGCAGAAACAGGACGGAGCCTGCAGACGTGAACACACTCCGCACCCATGAAGTACCACTTGACCCTAATTCTGCTCTCAGGGAGAAGGAAGCTCCTGCAGGGTCCTGAAGTTTGTCAGTTTTCCACTTAGTTTCCTTTTGCTCCTCTCCACAGCTCTGCTTACCTGAGAGAATAACGTCAACACCTGCGGTGGCATTCTAACCGTCCTGGGGGCATTGATCATCACTGTGAATCCCAACATAGCTGAGCTATTCATGTTTGACAGTGCGATCATGCAGGGCTGTGCGTCATGGAATCTTCAATGCAGAATATGCTTTGGTTCTTCCACGCACCTTCTCATCTGTCGTCTCACAGAGAGGAGGTGATTCTCCCTCCCGATTATTGGGGCCCAAACACAAGGGCCAGGAGGACTCACCTCACTCCCCAGCTGAAGGACTGCCCCGGAAGGACGGGCGCGGGTCCCTTGTCTGATCCAGAATGGGATTTGCACACCGAGGGAAATGCACCACGCACACACTCACGCACGCACAGTGGGCTCCATCTTCTCTCCCTAGTCATTGAGCTTTCAGGTTCCCACCTCCTTCCCAGCCCCGTGTCCTGGTCCGACTTGTACTTCCTCCCCTGGGGTCTTGCTCAATGATGACCTTTCGGCATCCCTGCCTCTCCTTCTGCACAGCTGCCATCTTGCCTCCCTGACAGATGTGGTCATGCCCCAGCCACACACCACCTGCTCCAGACAGACGCCCTCTCTGCTGCCTTCCCTGGCTCAGGCACTCCTGAAAGCAGAGTCCAGGACCCAGGCCTAGGGATGGGCACAAACTTCAGTATCTGCATGGGTTGGATTGTGCTCTCCATGAGGCCATGCTCAAGGTCCAACCTCTCATTCCTGTGGATGGATCTTACCAAGTCCAGAGGAGCTCGCACCGTGCTTTGGCGGGCTCTAATCCATTAAAATCCAGGAAAATTTGGGCCCCAAAACACTTCAGGAGACCATGAAGGCCTCAGATGGGAGTCATGTATCTATAGGCCCAGGGATAAAAAGGGACAGGCTGGGGATTTAGCTCAGTGGTGCTGCTGACTGCCTCGAAAGCTCAAGGTCCCAAGTTCAATACTCAGAACCAAAAATAAAAAAAGGATTGCCAGCGCCCCCTGGAAGCCAGTAGAGAGGTCTGGCCCTGATTCCCCCAAGAGCCTTGAGAGGGAACCACCCCTGCCAACACCTTGACTTTGGACTTTGGCCTCCAGAACCCAGAGAGAATATGTGACTGTCACTGTAAGCGACTCCCGTCTGTTGGGATTTGTTGCTGCAGCAACAAAACCCAAATACAGTGGCCACCGCCTCAGGGCTTCTACGATGTCCAAAAGGAAATGGGGCTGTGGTCACCCACAACAAGTTCTCTCGACGCACTGTTCCAGGGACAGCCATGGCTCAGTGGAGCGGGCAAGGTGTAGGGCTTGAGCCCAGCCCAAATCCCAGCTTGGCCCCTTGGAGAGGGCAGGTGCCTTGTGTCCCCACAGGAGCTCCCTGACAACCAAGCAGTGATGTCAGCGCCCAGGTCCCCCCGCTCAGTACCATAATCAGAAGAGACCAGAGCCTGGCTGGGCCCTCGGACAGGTCCCACCAGTGCTATTTCCCAGCCTGCAGACCATGCTGGCTGTCTCAGACCAGAGGAGCTAATGGGGCAGGGCGAACATCTACAACCACCCTGCACAGTGTGGGGGCTCGGTGTTCCTCCTGTCCTTCCCACACTTGGGGAAGCAGGGACAGCGACAGACGGCGCTCTCAGGAACACTGGTAACCAGGACAAAGCCTCATCACTGTGAGCCCCTCCTGCCTGTCCCTCTGCTCTGACAAGAACCTCCTCACTCCTCGCCAAGGGCTTCGCTGCCCTTCCGGTCACCTGCTACCCCTTAACTGCATCCAGACAGCCCTGTTTCACGTATTCATTCATTCCACAATCCCACTCCAGGCACTCAGGCTGCACCTGACACCACACTACGCCCTCAGGGAGCCCTGAATGACAAAGACACTGTCCCTGGTGCCCCTCTAAGAAAGAGACATGGGCCTTGGAGTGACTGCAGAAACCCAAAGCCATGCTGGTGTCCCCGCTAGCTTCCAGCCCCATCTCTTCCCCTGCCACCCCCCAGAGAGCTCTGTCGGTCCAAGTCCCAAGATACACAACAGCACGTGTTGCTGGGGGCATCATTTAACTTTCAAATGGAGTAGGGCTGGGTACAGCGGTGCATATCTGAAGTCCCAGCTACTTGGGAAGCTGAAACAGGGGGAACTCAAATTAAAAGTAAGTCTGGGCATCTTAGCAAGACCCCTGCCTCAAGATAAAATTTTAACAGGTCTGCGATAGAAGCTCAGTGGTAGAGCACTTGCCTGGGATGCTCAAGGCCCTGAGTTCAAACCCCAGCATCAGGCAGGAAAATTAGGGAGGGGGTTAATTTAAATCATTCAATTGGTAAACAATCTAAAACATTATCTGTCCCACTAATGTATGCAAAACTATATTTTGGGGCAGATGCAAGTCTCCTGAATTTTTAAGACAAACCCTCTCCTGTTCACAAGCTTCAATTCACTCTGTCTGCACTCCCAGACCCCCAGGGCCTGTTCTGCTCTCTCCTGCTTCCAGTCACCCAGCCACGACATGCAGGAACCTCTTCTGGGCCTTGCTCCCGGCCCAGCCTCCTCCTCAAAAAGCCTCCTGTAAGGCAGGGCCAGAACTGCCCAGGGTTTCCTGGGAGAGGGCCAAGGGCCTGCTCCCCGTAGCAGCAGTGCTGGCTGAATGTAGCTACCAGTCACTAATCTGCCCTGGCTCTGTCAGGCCAGGAAACCTCCTGTAGGTGCCACACAAATACAATTAACCTTTAAGAAGTCAGGATGCCACCCTCGGAGGGAGAGCTCCCCCCAAGAAGAGACCCCACCTTCTCCACCTTCTTGGACTCCAGATACAAAGAGGAAAAAGTTTAAAGCAAGCAGGACTCACCCATGGTAAACCTTTCCATCCATCAAACTGACAAGAATCCAGGGGATTCGAAGGAGTACACAGGCCAACCAAGATGCCAGCGTGAGCCACCGAGCCCCGCTGCCATAACTTCCGGGGGACTTCTCCCTGGCAAAGGGGCAAGCAGAAAGAGGGGTCCCCATGGCCCTGCCACACCCACCCAACAAAGCAGCTACCACATTCCAGGCATGACGCTAGGTACCAACGATAAAGGAGAAACGGGTGTTTCTGACCCCGGGGATTGGTGGGAGGAGGAAGGGAGTACACTTGTGAGATGTTCTTTTCACAGTATGAAAACAAAGTCTAGTTTGGGCAGGACTGCAGAGCCGCAGCGTCTGGTAAGGTGATGGTCTGAGACAGGTCTCAGCGTGAGCAGTTCTCCCACCAGACGAAGGGAACCCAGATGGACCGGCTAGGATGTGGTGGCTAAGGCTGGGTCCTGGTCCCCCAGGACGATCTGTGTATGTGCTTGGACGGTGGACACACTGCCCCCAGCCGATGAGGCTAAGTGGAGGCCTCCTCTGGAGAGTGGGCGGAGGGTCAGCTGGTCACCTGGGCCATCTGGGCAGGAGCTCTCCCCTCACCCAGTGCTCCAGCTTCCTGCCTTCCTGTTACCCTCCACTGGCCATCCTGCTGCTCCACCCCTCTCAGGAGAAACCAGCCCTGCAACACAGAGGAGGGGCAAGCAAGGCAAGGCGTAACTTAGAAGTCAATGGTCGGTGCAGAAATAAAAGGCTCCCACCAGCGGAAACATGAGCCGGCTCCAATTTCAAATAAACACGATCTGCTTCCCGCAGCTGAGAAGGGCGGAGCCCAGGCCTCGCCATCCCCGGGTCCCTAAACCCCAGTGCCCCAGACACAGGGCAGGACCCGGCTGCAGGGTGGAGAGGGTAGATCCCAGAGAAAGCCTCAGGTCAGGTTAGGGATTGCAGGGGCAGAGACGCGCATAGAGCTACGCGACTGCTAACACAATGCACCCGCCTCCCAGGGCCCTGGGTGGGTGTACCAGCATAGGAGTGTTCAAAAGCTCTCAGAACCACACCCAAAACTGGGCAGCTGTGATGCATGCCTGTCATCCCAGCACTGTAGGAGGCTGAGGCAGGAGGATCCTAAGTTCGAGCCCTGACTGGGCAACTTGGCAATTTAAGTGAGACCTTGTTTCATGATTTCAAAAAAAGAAGAAAATGCTAAGGCTATAGCTCAGTGTGAAGGCCCTGGGTTCGACCCCCAGAACCAGGGAGCTTGTGGGGAGGCACAAGCATCCAAGCAGATGCAACTCCTCTAGTCTGCCTGTTTCCCTGGAGCTCTCACTCCAGTCCAAGGGGCCAAGTCATCTGGGGGCTCACGGCAGGAAATTGGAGTAACAGCAGATCTCACCTGCTCTTCTTCCTCTCCTTTCCAGATCCCTAGCTGAGAAGATCAACGCTGGAGATAAACTCATTTGCCTTCAGATGCTCGAGCCTACCCACTAACTACAGTCACCTCCCAGGCTGGCTCTCAGTGAACAGTGTGTGCCTCTGGTGGGGCACTGACCCGCTGTCAGCCTCGAGGGGCCGTCGGACCCCACTGATCACTGGTGTGCGGTCCGGGAGCTTCACTGCCAGTGATCTGTGAAGTCAAACACCGCAGTATTTCCTGTGCTTGTTTCGACCTGCCTGTCTTTGTTTACAGATTATAGGTGGAAGCATTCTGTCCTCTGGTCTTCATGTGACAATGGTTTGCCAGTTCCAGCCCCTGTGGGGAGGGCTTGTTCCCGTGACAATGTGCAGGCAAGCTGGCACCTGCCTCCCTCCCCCTCCCCCCCCTCCGGACTGGAGGCTGCAGGATAGTCTCAGGTAGGGGAGGGATCAGGTGGAGCCCGCCCTCCAGGTGAGCCCAGCGGGTCCCCTAGGTACCGAGTGGTCTGGAGAAAGCAGGACAGGGAGGCCCTATGGGCCAGGAGGAGGCAGGTGGAGCCCTCCCCGTAGCCCTGAGCCTGGGTCTTCCAGGCCACTAGGTAGAATCTGACGGGGTCTCACCTTAGGCAGTTTGAAGTACCGAACTCGTCACCTGGACACGGGAAAGCAAACCAAGAGAAAGTCTGGAAATTCCTGGGGACAGGTAGAAGGGCCACAGGGGGACAGGGTACAAAGGGGACCACGGAGTGGCAGAGAACAGAGAAAGCTCCTTCGTGTGACAAGTACAGGTGTGGCATCCATGAGGCTACCATGAGATGTAGCCCAGTAGGACTGGGCCAGTTGGGTACAGTGAGGGGACTCCAGGCAAAGTAGTCACCCAGACGAGCTGGGGCTGGAGCCAGAGGGGGCTGAGTGGGGCGGGGCACCCACAAGGCCTCAGGGAGCCACCCGGGACTTCCCCATCTCCGGAGTGACACTGGTTTATTAAAGTCCCCTCCCACCACCAGCCATGCCCTCCTAACCTGCTCCTGGCCACACTCACCTGTGAGAACTAGTGGTGACCAGTGCGAGCCTGGGTCCCTTGGGGTCAGTTCTCCCTCAGGCACTAGGTAGGGACCAGTCTGTCCCCCAAGCTGGCCTGAGCCTCAGTTTCTTCCTATGCAAATGTGGCACGGCAAGGATTAATGGCCACCTCATGACAAGTTTGAAAACAATGTTGTTTATACAGTGCTGAGCACAAGCAAGAGGTAAATGCTCAGAACGGGTCTTGTTTCCCCATTATTTGTGTTGCTGGTGACCTCCACCTTCCACAGGTATGTCCTCGACACCGTTCAGAGGTCCTGGATGGCGACTGCCTGGGCTCCAGGGGCCCTGAGGAGAGAGGTGAAGGCGATTCCAACCAAGCCTGGAAACTCCCCAACTCCCAGCCTTTCCACCGGGAGAGGCGTCGGCATCTGTCCCCTCTGACCACCCTGGAGCACACTGGGCCTGGACTCGGAGTTGGGAGAGCAAGGCCGGCAGCGCTGGATTTCAGGGAGACTGTGCCTCCGTCCCAGAGAAATGAAAGCTCAGGGCAGTCTGGGTCTCCGGCAGCCCTTCCCCACACCTCCAGCTCTGCCGCCTCACCTCTGAGGCGTCTGGACAGGGGCACAGAGGAACTCCCGGGTCCTCCAGCCTGTTCCCTGGGGCTGCACACACCCGGCGGGAAGCCCTCCCCCACCGTCGTCCCCCACCTGCAGCTCCCAGTGCCCCCGTCCGGGAGATGAGCAGATGGCATTCTGAGTCCCACCTCGACCCTATCCCCGCTCCCAGACCGTTCAGGGTCCGAGGCCAGACTTGTTGGCCTTCATTATAGACTATAACACAAAAACACAATAAAATAAAATGAATGTTTTCTCTGTGAAAATCCACTAGATGAGTTACTGTTGTAATTTAATAATGGGATGGGAAACTACAGCAAATTACCGAAGTATATAATTAAAGTACATCTATTTTCAAGTCCTTTATTGCTTAGTGCTCCTCAGATCTCACCCGTTCATCTCCACTCCCCACTGCACCCCCTCCCCCTGCCCTGAGCACACTGTGCCCTGATGCACGACGTGTGCCAGCCCGGGCCCCTCCCAGGGCACGGGAGGAGGGTGCTGCTGCCACAGACGCTGAGCTCCTCCCCCCTCTGCTACATCCCTGCCGGGTTCGGGGGATTTCAGGACTAAGTGCTGAGCCAACCAAAGCCAGAAGTGGCTGATGAAAGGGAAAGGAGGTCCCTGCCCTAGAACACCCTTTTCAAGGGACAGATGCCACCGACCCCCCGGGCTTCAGAAAAGCCACCCGTTCCAAAATGGTGCCGTGATTAAGGGGCAGCAGGAAGCTCAGGCTCGGAGAGCTTTGGAATGTGCCCGGGATCACACAGCAAAGGGCAGCAGAGCTGAGAGTTGATCCCAAGCACTTGTGACAGTGCCTGCTACCTCCACCAGCTGCCTGCGTCTGGGATTCCTCCCTGCTGGGTGTCAGAGCCCTGGCTGTCAGGAGAGTTGCTGCTGGGTTCCAAGGAGAAAGGGACAGAGGAGATTCACGTGGCTCTTGATCCAAGGCTGTTTCGACTTCCTGGAATTCAGGCTAAGGAGCATGGGGCTAAGCCTGGGGTCTTACACACAGCAGATTCTCTCCCAGCAGTCTCCCTGCTTGGCCCTTGTCAGGAGGATCCAGACCCTGAGTTTGGCCTGGCTGCCCTGGGCAAGGGGACCCCGAAGCCCAGCCAGGAAGAGACAGGAAGGGGCTGCCTTCCTCAAATGACCTTGTTGGAAGGAACTTTGTAGGCGGCTCATTTTGCAGCCGTGTGTTTCCCCTCTCCAGAGCTCTCGGCCTTCATCCAGGGAGCAGCAGCAAAGGACAGAGACAAAGCCGTGTGTCGCTTTGTTAGTACCACCAGGCTCTTGGCTTTAGGGAGTGAAAATGACCCAGGAGTGAGACTCACTTGGCCCAACCGTGAGCGCACAGAGCCCCTACCCACAGCAGGTTCAGCATCAGGGCCAGGGAGCCAGCAGTGGGGACTCTCTGTGACGCATCCCTCTTCCCTTCCTACCAGAGCCCACGTTGGATACGTGCCTGCTGCAACTCGTCTGCCAAGCAGTGGAGTCAGGCACCGCTGGTGCATTCCTGTATTCCCAGCACTCTGGGAGGCTGAGGCAGGAGGATTGCAAATTCAAGCCCAGCTTAAGCAACTTAGCAACCTCGTGAAACTTGGTCTCAAAATAAAGATCAAAAAATTTTTTTAATTTCAAAAGAAATTTTAAAAGGACTGGGAATGTAGCTCAGCGCAAAGACCCTGGGTTCAATTTTTAAAAAGCAGGGACTCCCCATCATTCATACGGGGATTGCTCTCCCGAGGGGAATGTGACCCAGAACACAAGCAAAGCCGAGCAAGAAGGAAAGGAGTCACCAAGCTGAAAGGAGAGCCCAAATGCTCCCCTGACAGTGCCCTACATGACAGGGTTTGGCATGACCACCATTGCCCTTCTGCATAATATTGGCCACAGCAGAATGCTATTGGCTGAGTTTGTCCCACCCCCAAATTCAGAGGTTGAAGGCCCCACCTTATAGCACAGCCATGTGTAGAGACAGGGCCTTTAGGAAGTAATGAAAACTAAATGATACCAGGTATGGCGGTGCACACTTGTAATCCCAACTCGGGAGGTAGAGGCAGGAGGATTATGATTTTTTTAGGTTACCTCAAGCTGCATAGTGAGACTCTTCCTCTCAAAAAAAAAAAAAAGATTCTGTGAGGTTTTGAGG